TTGCTCATAAAGTCCTCAGATGAGGTTGGTGCCACTTCTTCTAGGGATTTTCTTCTGACGGCCTCACATCGGAGTCAGCCGGCCCCTCCTCCGTGTGGCTGTAGCACTCTCCCACTGTCTAGTCACAGAATCATAGTGCCCATCCACTGACTCTGTGTTCAAAATGGTTCGGTTTTTATTTAACCATGGAGCAGGTTAAAAATACTAATAAGATATATATTAGCTATAAAGGATTCTACCACCGTGCACAGTTCATATGTACTCCATACCCCCAGCTTTGGTGCCTTTCAGGCACCTGGGTGTCCCTCCCCAGTCCCACACTCAAAGGAAAACCAGCCAAAATTTCGTGTTATTTGTGCCCTTGCCTTTTCTTTTAATTTTACCTCATCTGTTAGTATGCATAAACAGTACATCATTTCGTTTTGCCATTTTAATAAGTCAAATCATATTACGTGTGTTCCTCCATACGTTATCTTTCCACTCAGCATTATTTCTGAGATACCACCTGTGTTGATCTTTATAGCTTTATCATTCATTTCTTTGCTGTCTGAATATGCTGCTATCATTTGGGCTGTCATTGCTTTTATACATCTCTGTATTCCTTCTCTTTTCCTTACACCCTCATCTTCACCCCAACACCACTTTCAGTCTCCAAAAGGGTAGAGTTATCTTGCTCGTTGCTATGTCTTAGGACCTGGCATAAGAAAATGTTTGTTAAATGAGTGCATACCTTTGGTCTGAGAGTCTGCCTGTAAAACATGAGTGAGTTTACCATTCCATGGCAGCAATGACCTTCTTTGGCAAGAGCTCTTTCTCCCACACCTTGCCTGGCTATAATACTAGACTAGGGCTCAACAAACTTTTTCTGTAATGTCCCAGATGGCAAATATTTTTGGCTTTGCAGGGCCATATGTTTTTTTGCCACAGCTACTTACTCCTGCCACTGTGACATAAGCAGCCATAGATGATGTGTAAACAAATGGGGTGTTACAATAAGCTTTATTTTACAAAAGCAGGCAGTGGGCCAAATTGTCCCACAGGCTGTAGTTTGCCAACCCTGCTCTAGATGACTCACCTGGTTGGAAGCAAGGACAACATTGGCTACTAGTTCAGAGATGGGAAACTTTGATCACAGAGTCCAGGGGGACTCACCCAGTCTATTAATAGTACAGGCAAGGATAAAGCTGAGCTTGTGGTACTCATAAGGCATGAGGCAAAATAAAAGTCAGGGAGAAAGGTAGCATTTTCAGATGAGGGCGTAAGTGCATCTTAAGAGTCAGTATGTTATGCATTGTAGACTACATTACAAAGCCACAACTAAAAATAACTACCATAAGATTTGAATTTTAGGCTGGGACAGAGTTTAGGTATTCATGTCACTGTCTTTCATTGGACGCTTTCTTCCCTGATTCATCTCCAGCATCTGAGGCTTGAGCCCGGCTGGCTATGCATACTGAGGACTAAATTGGTGGCTCAACCCTGTACTGTGTCAAGCATGCCAGAATAGATTCTCATAGAGAAAATATTGACGTATCTTTGTTGAACTGAGAGAGCAGGGCAAGCAATCCTTGAAGAGCTTAAGTACAAGTGGAGGGTCCACCTTCACTGAGTTATTCCCTTATGTTAAAGCAGACTCCTTGTCATCGTGACATCAGTGTAAGCGAGGTGGAACATTGCAGGGAAAGAGCATGGGCCTGGGGCAGACAGATGGGAATCTGGGTACTCATAGTCTTCTCATTCTTTAAGCAGGGTGCATGCCTATCTCACAAAATCGTTGTGAGGGATGTATCTTGCTCATGGTGGCAGCAAATGAGTCTGAAAGGAGCATGGCTGAGGGGAGACCAAGAGGATGCCGATAAGAGAAGGAACTAGGGACTTTACTGTGCACTACCAGGCATTGTTCTAGCTCTTTTCTCCTCATTCCATTCTCACATAAGCCTGTAAGAAATAAACTCCACTACTGTCCCCTCACACCAGATGGTAAATGGAGCAGAGAGAAGGCAGGGCGCTGGGCCAGGCTTGCTTGGCTAGAAGGCGGTAGAGCTGGGATTGGGAGCAAGCGTGTCTGGCTGGAGAGTCCCACGCTTCTCCACACATGGTTTTCATAGTGGCAATGCTTATATTTTAAGCCTGGCTGTTGTTAATTTTTATTGAGGACTGGTCCTGAAGCTCTCACCACTGAGCTACTCAGTCAGCCCCATTCTGCTGTCCTATAGTTAGTTGATCCTGCCCAACCTATGGCAGAATAGACAAAAGGTGTCCTAGGGAAAGGTTCCTGAAAAAGATCGGAGTATAAAGTTGAAGACGGCTGAGCCCCCACCGTGCTACAGGTGCTGTGATTAGTGGGCAGGTAGACCTCACTAAGGCAGGGTTCTCTTCGTCACCTCCCCAGAGAGGCCAGTAGGCTGGGGAGATGTGGTGTCCCCATACTGGCAGAGATAGCCACGGTAAGGGACTTCAGTTAGTCGTTTTGATGGTTCTTGGGCTTTGATGAAGGAGACACAGAAAGTGGCCTAGAGACATCCGCCATTCCCCTAAGGACACAAAGCACCCAGGACGTGGTGTCAGTGCCTTCACATACGATGCGTCTCGGAAGCAGTTTCGAAATGTTGAAGAGATTTTAAAATGCCCATGAGGTTGGGCAGATCTGTGCGACTGATCCTGACCAACGAGCTGTGAGTGGAAGTGACCTGTCACTTCTGGGCTGGAGCATTCAGTTACCTGTGAGAGACCTGCTAGGTCTCCTGGACACCGGCCAGCAGCATTCACAATGGTGGCCGCTCCTTCAGCCTGCACCCCCACGTGACAGTGACAAGCAGAGACCCACCAGCCCTCAGTAGGCATGTAGTGTGAACAACAAAGAAGCTGTTGACATTTTCAGCCTCTGAGATTTTAAAAAGTTGTTTGTTACTTCAGTGCAACACAGCTTGTGGCTGATCCACAAACTCACTGCAGTTTTCCCTGTCCTTGCTAATAGCTTGATTTTTTAAAAAATAACTTGATGTGAGTTCGTAATAGCATGAAAGGATGTTAGGGTTGACTTTGGGTGTATGGAGTTTTATAGAGAGCAAATAGGAAGTTCCGAATAGAGTCGGGTTTCACAGGACTTTGTACATATTGATTCACATCTGTCGGAGAGGCGAGCTTCATGATAGTGTCAATAAATGTTTGATTCATTGGTCAGGCCATTGTTAGGCCCATCAGATGTATGGAAATCCTATTAGCTGATGCATCCAAATTAGTTATTCCCTGGAATATTCTTCTTACAATTCCTTATTATTGTGGTTTGAAATAGTTCAGCCTTATACTAGCATCTTACCCAACTATGTCAAGATAGGTTAGTGGGAGGTGTTATAATTAAGGCTATCATTCTATTTACCCAAACTGATTCATTTCAGTTTGAAGCTTTCATCTAAATGTTTCTAAAGGCTTCTCACCTTGTTGAGTTTGGGTAGCCACTCATCCTATGCAGTCAGTGTTGTTCAGATATCAAGCGCTACTCTGGCTTAGAATTCATATTCTATTATTTATGTCTTTAACAGAGTGGGATTTCTCTACCCTTCACCTCTAGCCCTCATCCCTCATTATTTTCTCACATTTCCTCTCTTTATCTCTTCCACAGGCATGTGTACACATGTACACACGCCACACACACACACACACACGCACCCACATTCTTTCTCTCCCAAGATTTAAACTGATCCTGTTCTAAGATCCTGATACTGGGCAAATGTGTGCACAATATTTATCATCCCTAATGAACAAAACCGCAGGAACCTTTGAAGCCCTGCTGGGAGCTGAGGGCAGCTTGTTGAGTAGTTGTCAGGTAACCTGAGCCGCCCCAGCTGCTTGACTTCTGTTTGAATTGTGTACGTTTCTGCTTAAGCACGTGCTGCAAAGGTTTAGGTTTTCAACTTGTGTTCAAGGTGATACGAAGCGAGGGTAGACTTGGTGGAGAATTTTAGTATTGGTGGAAAGGAAAAACGGGCAGCATTTCAGTCCTAAAAGGTCTGTTTGCCTTTCTCCTTCACTTAAGCTAAACTCTCCAAAACCACACGGAGAATGCTGTCTATCCTCCTCTCTGCTCAGCCCTGCACACCTCCCAAATCCCTGGCTAAGCCTGCAAGTGTCAAGCCTGGAATTTGCTGCGTGGTGTTTGATAGTTCTATGACAGTGTTCCGTAGCAGGAGATACACATCTCATTCTGGACAATGAGAAGCACACTCCAAACCTTATCCGGGAGCATTACGTGGTTTTTTGAGGTCATAGATAGTCATTAAAACGTAGACCATTCCCTCAAAGAACTTCCAATCCGCAGGTTTTTAAACTACTTTTGCCAAGAGGAAGAGCATATTTATTGGGGTAAAGCCAAAGTCCCATTGGTGGAGGAGAAGGACATTTTAGAATTGCTGCTGTGGTCTAGACTTAACATCAGAGACTAGAACTTGTCTCAGAGACAGGCCGGGCATGGGAGAGAATCTCCAGAGAGCTCATTAAGGGTACCAGAATTACACTGTGGAGAAAACAGAGCAAAAAGGGGCAGGCTGGCAGGGAGGCCCAGACAACTCTCCCATAAAGACAGGTTTTGCCTGACCTGCAACTTAGAGCCCAGACCACGATTCAGCTCCTCCTTCGTGTTAAAACCTGACACTGAGGCTGGGCAGTGGCTCATGCCTGTAATCCCAGCACTTTGGGAGGCTGAGGCAGGTGGATCACCTGAGGTCAGGAGTTCAAGACCAGCCTGTCCAACATGGTGAAACCCATCTCTACTGAAAATACAAAAAATTAGCTGGGCGTGATGGTGTGCACCTGTAATCCCAGCTACTCAGGAGGCTAAGGCAAGAGAATCACTTGAACCCTGGAGGCGGAGGTTGCAGTGAGCTGAGATCATGCCATTGCACTCCAGCCTGGACAACAAGAGCGAAACTCCGTCTCAAAAAAAAAAAAAAAAAAGAAAAAGAAAATCTGACACAGAGAGAGGTTCAGAGATGTGTCTAAGGCTGGACAGATGGTATCTGAGCCAGAGTGAGAACTCAGACCTCCAGTCTAATGCCCTTCAAATAGTGAAAGCCAGTCACAGTCGACAGATAAGAACCACACAAAATAGGAAAGGAAGTGATGGCGTTTCAAGGGAAACAGGCACCTGTTGCCTCGGTAGCAAAAGCAGCAACGGTCGCTTTGTAAAAAGTTTTAAAAATACCCCCCAAGTCTTTCAGGAGTAAGTGCTGCTACACGGGCCGAGGTCTGCGGGTGCTTCCACCCTTGTATTCCTAGGAGGGCCGTCTCGGTTCTCACCACCCATGCCGATGGACTTTGGGCCATGCTGACTTCTGGCCTCTCAGCGCGCCCACCTGACGAACACGGGCCCAGCTGGGAGGGAGAAGGACCAAAGGCTCCCAGGTCAGCTGAGCCAAACGTACAAAGTGTCTGGAGCCATTGGTGATATTAAATGTTAAACGCGGGCGTGTAGGAATCAGTCATGAGTGCCCTAGGTGTTCTTAGGTATGTGGCGTCGTGATGGTTTCCGGGTAAACAGATTTCATAACAACTGTCGCCCTGCCCGGCAGACACCTCGGGACTCCTGGGTGTCCTGTTCCCTGGAGGAATTGCTCTCAGGAGCTGTGAAACAGAAACATCCTCAGGCTGGCAGAACTGCTGATGCCTCAGATGCTCTGTTGTTCTTGTGGTGGCTTCTGGGCTATGGAAGGGGCACGATCCCCTCGGCAGCGGCTGTTCTCTAGAGGAGCTGAGACTCCCTGTATGAGATGTAAGTACTCCCCTGCCAGGGCCACTGTGCTAGTGTCATTCCATCTGGGGATACTGTCAGTAGTCTCCTCACTCGTTTCCCCGCCTACAGCCTCTGCCTGGCCCAGTGCTGCTCTCGACTGCTCATTGTCTTTTATAGCACAGCCTGAGTCATGGATCTGCAGCCTGGACGCATTCAGTGCAAGACTTGGAGGGGCACAGTTTACTCATCAGGTCCTGTGGATGCAGCTGCATGGGAGGGGAATGGCATTAAAGCCATAATGGTGCTTTCTGCCTTCACGCTGCCCACAGACTGGAGAGAGCACACACGTGGCACCCAGTCACTGCACCGTTCAGGCACAGCAGGCTGGCCTGCCCAGCCAGAGGGTCCAGGAGACCTGGCGGAGGTCTGACAGTCGGTGGTCTCTCTTAGCATTCATCCCACTGCTTTCCGTCCAGTGTTCCCTCTGTTGACTCTCTCCGCTCCATCATTCCATCAGTAATCAGCAGCAATGCCCTTCTTTGGCAAGAGCCCTCTCCTCCCCACACCTTCCCTGGCTACAATACTAGACTAGGGCTCAGCAAACTTTTTCTGTAATGTCCCAGATGGTAAATATTTTAGTCTTTGCAGGCCATATGTTTTTTGTCACAACTACTTAATCCTGTCACCATAGCATAAAGCAGCCACAGATGATATGTAAACAAATAGGTATTACAATAAAGCTTTATTTACAAAAACAGGCAGTGGGCCAAATTTGTCCTACAGGCTATAGTTTGCCAACCTCTGCTCTAGATGACTCACCTGGTTGGAAGGAAGGACAGTATTGCTGCTGGATCAGAGATGGAGCTCTTCACCCAGCCTTCTCCCAACACCTTTGTGTGGACCCTTTCCTCCATCTGAAATACCCTTCTTCCCCCATCTGCCATTTGCATGGCCAATTCTGTCTGTTTCTCAGGGACCAACTCAGAAGGCCTTTTTCTTGAAAGACCCTCTTCCCATCTCTCCCACCCTCCCAGCCAGGAGGCCAGCCTGACTCCCCAAACGCCTGCAGGACTACTTCACTTTTGCCTTTCTTACGGGATGCCTTCTCACTGCAGCTAGTCTGTAAGATAAACATCTGTCCTGTCCATTTTTGCCCAAATGACCTAATACAGTGAACTGTGCCTAAATACACTGAATGATACGTAATCGGCACTTAAAATGTTTGTAAAATAAGGGAATGATGTAAGGATTGATGCAGGGTGGCTGAAAGTCTCTGGAAATTTAGGAGAAGGGAAAGAAAAGCATGAACTTTGAAAGGCAGGAAAGTCTCCCTATGGAAGGAGGGACTCGAGAGGGAAGTATTTAGTTGGGCAAAAGGACAAGAAGGCACATTCTGGGGTGAAAGAGGCACAGAGCTACCGAAATGGGAGCTACAGGATGTTGGTGGGGGTAGGCAGAGGGGGAGGTGTGAGGTGATGGGGCAGTAGGGACTATAACCGAGCTCGGAAAGGTCACCTTCAGAGGAGGACAGTGGGAAGGTTTGCTTTGCCCCGTGATACAGAATCGGCTTCCTTTGGCTGAGGCACAGCAATGGGCAGATGCGTTGCTCAGATCAGACGGTGAAATGAAGAAGGAGGAGGAGGCAGCTGGGTGTCCAGTCTTCTGTCTGGTTTCCCGCTAATGGATAGAGCTCTGCAATGACTGCACAATAAACCTTCTATTCTGAAGCCAGCATTGGTATTTACTGATATGCTTTTACTGGCACAGTGGTTTAATAAAATCTGCAGGATCTTTATTGCCTCAAAGGCAATGTGTTTTTCCAAAGAAACGTATATGGCCATAAAATATTCAAAAATGAAATATGGAAGAGGCTTCCTAATGCCTTCTAGAAATAGAATGGAAATACACATGGCACCAGATGAATTTATTTCTACTATTAAAATTCCTGATTTACCAACTACTTGAAAGGTAACTTCAAGTAAGCAGAATAGGCATGTGTTTTCCTCTGAGGGGAATATTTTAATAAGAACAGAGACAGTTGATAGATAGACATTTGTATCTGGATCTCTTCTTTCTGCCCCATTAAACCAGAAATTGGTCTTTGCCAGTAGTGACCATGTGTATGTGTCCACAGCAAGATGATTAACCGGAAGGGGGCCAATTGCGGAAGTGCTTATCCTGTCGTGTTTAATACCCACCTTATATATTCCACACAGATATACACATTAGAGGCTTTAAATCCCCTCCCTGGAGAGAGAGGCTATACATGAAGCAGTAAATTACATCTGCTGAAAATAGGTTGAGCAGTTTCTCCCCAGAACTCATATCCCTGCCTACAGTGATGGTCTCAGCACTAGCCCACTGGCCCACATTATTCTGGCAATAAAGCTCACTGTAGTGCACCACTAGCATCGAGAGCGAATGGTTTAGTTGGATGCATAACTGTGCTGAATATATTGAAAAGCAATTAGCTTCCTGAGGGTCAGTAGCTGATATTCCATTTCAAAACACAGAATGTCGTCAGATATAATCATGAGAATTCTTCAGACTCCACAGCAGTTTATAAGCAATATTTTGACAGGAGGTGGTTTGTTTTGAATCTGGGAGTACTGAAAATGTTAAATGATGAACAGAGGTGAATAAACCAACTATCAACTGGTTCATTTTTTTCATAGGCTTGTTTGTAATTTATTTCTGCTAATTTTTTTCTTCCTGTAGCTTATTGTCATTTAAAGGCCTCACTTCTTATAACTATTGAGATGACTGTTTTCCTTTATGCATAATTTTGTGTGAAATAAAGAACGTGTTTGGAGTTTCTTCCAAGACCTCCTTACTCCCATCACCAGCACCATTATTCATTCAGTTTTCTGCATTTACTCTTCAAAGACCCCTGCCACTCTTAATTAGCTACCGGAGTCCATCAGTTTCCTCTTTAGAAATGGTTCTTAAAACCACAGCCACCACTCAAACTCTAACCTAAATGTATTAGAATCCTAAAAGGGTAAAGTGGGAAAGAACGTCAGAGATGGTTCTCTGAGGTCTTACTTGGACAGATCTAGCACTGAAACTGCCTCCAGTTTTGGGCTTGGCCTGTCCCCAGGGCTGGCTGTGCCGCGTGACATTGTGCTGAGATTCCTGCAGCAGCTTGTCAGCTCCTTGCTCTGCTTCAGGGCTTCGGCCCAGCTAAGTCATCCCTCTCTTCTGCCCCCAGATTCATCTTCCCAAATCCTCACTTCCATTATGGTCACTTTCTTTCTCACTGGCTGCCAATTACTTGCAAACTTTTTAGCTTTTTTGCTGAAGGGTCATCATAGTTTCAGCCCGCCCAGTTTCTCCAAAATGCCCTTTATTCCAGCCAGCCTTCTTTGGCTCCTCGACTTACCGCTGTCATCGCTGGCTCCAGCACTTCGCTCATGTTCTTCCCGTCATGTAGATTGCTTGTTTTCCCTTCTGACTCTCCAGGATTTACCTTTGGGATCCATCCTCCATGTGCTTCCTTCTGCCTATCATCACAGGCCTCCCAGTCCCCAGCTGGCGTCCAACCGCTTACCATGTGCATGGTGCCAGGGAGGGGACCCAAAGATGCACCAGGTGTGAGCCTGGACACACAGCTGAGAGCCCAACATGGACATTCAGACTTGCACACAAATCATTCTGGTGCTGGAGAGGATGTCATAAATGCTATTTTAAAAAAGAAAAAGATGCAGTAAAGTTGGGCCTATGTTTATGCTAGTGCAGACCTCTCTCTATGTCCAGAGAAAGGCAGTATGATATAATGGTTGAGGAGTGAGATTTTGAAACCAGAGAATATGTTGCTGAACTAGCTTTGTGACCTTGGGCAGATACTTAACCTTTTTGTGTTTAGCTTCCTCATCTATAAAGATGGAGATAACAAAAGTACCTGCCTCCCAAAGTTGCCATGAGGATTACTGGAGTTAATGTCAAAGTGCTTAGGATAGTGCCTGGCATGTAGTAGGCACCAGATAAATGTCCACTGGTAACTGTTACTGCCATCATCATCATCTCCATTGCTGCCTCCTTTACTGGACTGTAAGTTTCTGAAGGGCAGCGATCACAGTGTCACTGTCCCCGGAGCATGTAATGGCTGCCTGGTCAACACTGAATAGAACGATAGATAACCTGTTGTTGCTGCTGCTTCCTCCTCTTCCTCCTCCTCCTCCTCCTCCTCCTCCACCTCCACCTCCTCCTCCTCCTCTTCCTCTTCCTCCTCCTTCTCCTCTTCTTTCTTTTTCTTCTTCTTCTCTTTTTCTTCCCAGCTTCTTCTTCTTTTGATTTAGGATGGGTATAGTAAGAGCCCTCCACCTCTCTCCCAGGCCTTCCTATGCCTCACAAAGCACTACTCCAGAAGAACAGTATTCTGAAATGAATTGGCTGAGGATGGCTGTGTCAGGGGTCCCCAAGATCACCCCCGGGTTGGCTGAATAACTGGGAACCACAGCACTCAGCATATAGTTGTATGTGTAGCTATGATTTATTACAGCAAAAGGACACAGAGCAAAATCAGCAAAGGCGAAAAGCAGATGGGGCAAAGTCCAGAAGAAACCAGACACAAGCTTCTAAGAGCCCTCTCCCAGTGGAGTCACACAAGATGTGCTGACTTCCCCCGCATGGGACAGCACATGTCCAGGATTGTCTACCGGGGAATCGCGCTAGAGACTTAGTGCCCAGGGGGTTTTGTGGGACTGGTCACACAGGCACAGGCTGTCTGGTGCATGCCAAAATCCCAGACTCCCAGAAGGAAAACAGGTGCTTGGCATAATCCACATTGTTTGTGAGACATCTTAGGGAAGATCTGTTAGGAGACGGTAGGAACCCTTCCGGAATCCAACTTCCCAGATGCCAGTTGAGAGCCAGCCTCACAAGCAGGCCTTCCTAAGGAGAACAGCCTCAGAACTGCTGGGTTAATTCTTTCCTGCATGATAACATAGGCTGAAGGCACAGACTGGGCAACCTTTTGGCTAATTGGAGTTTTACAGGAAGAATCCTGACGCTCACTTAGCATATTTTAAGTATTTAAT